CAATCAGAGACATCAGATGGACCGATGACTAGGTCCAAGAGCCGTGCACAAAACCGGCCGGTGTTATAAAAAGAAACTCCCATTGACTTGTTTCTATGCTCTGATGATGTCGGCAGTGGTGGCCGACGAAAGCTCAGCATTTTTATTAAACAAATCCTAGTTTGATATTATCCTGGTGTTCATATTTATTTGTTTTTACTATTATAGATCTATATATATATGTGGCCAGATTATGAAGGTGTCGTCTACGTATCTGAGCCAGAGTCTCTAGAAAAATCGGATCACAAACCCAAACTCTGGCTCAGATACGTAGATGACACCTTCATAATCTGGCCACATGGGAAAGAAAAACTGGACAACTTCCTCACACACCTCAACAGCCTACACCCCAAAATACAGTTCAACATGGAAACAGAAACTAACAACCAACTTCCCTTCCTGGATGTCTTAGTCTACAAGAAATCCAATGGCTCCCTAGGACACACCATCTACCAGAAGAAAACACACACAAACTGCTATCTGCACGCTCTCTCACCCCACCACCCAGCACAGATCAACTCTGTAGCCAAGACACTCATCTCCAGAACAAAACGCTTAGCTGACGAACAACACCTAAAACCCGAACTACACACTCTCACCAATGTACTAACATCCAATGGATTCCAAAGAAATAAGATTACAAACCTAATCCAAAAAGAAACCCCCACTAAAATCCAGGACAAAGAACAAGAAAATGGCAAAGCCCTCTTCCCATACATAAAAGGCACCACAGACAGAATCAGTAAGATCCTCCATAAACACAACATCAAAACAGCATTCTGCACAAACAGAAAAATATCCACCATCCTTAGAAACCCCAAAGATAAAATTGACTTAGAAAATCAAGGAGTATATGAAATCCCATGCACTGCTTGTCCCAACACATACATCGGACAAACCAACAGAAGAATAAGTGCATGCATTGAAGAACAAAAGAACTCAGTCAAAAAAGAGGAACCAACATCTTCCCTGGTCCAACACCTTAAAGCCACAGGACATGAAATTGACTTTAAAAATACCAGGACCATTGCCAAAAGTGAACTTTTTAATAACAGAATAATCAGAGAAGCCATCGAGATAGAAAAACGCCCACACAGCATGAACAAGCGAGATGATACCTCCCGCCTACCAGCCATTTGGAAACTCGCCCTTATTGACAAACGACTCCCTAACACAAAAAATGATACCAGACCCACACTCACAAAAACCACATAGGATGTCACCACCACACATCCACGCAAAAAGCAAATCCAAAGCCACAGCGATGATGAGGCATGACCACAAACCAGAAGCCAGACCACAGCTGCATCATTAGCCAATTTAAACCCCTCCAATCCATACATGAAGCAAACTGACACCCTCCATGAAGAGGAGGCACGACCACGAACGCGAAGCCAGAAAATAGCAAGGCAGCCCAAAATCTTAAACCCCTCTGCAACTCAGACTAACCTGAGCACAACCAAACAGAACACTCCCCCAGCCAATCAGAGCACAGCCAACCCCCCAGCCAATCAGAGCACAGCCAACCCCCCAACCAATCAGAGCACAGCCACGCCCCTAACCAATCAGAACACACCTCCACCCAATCAGAACACAGCCAAATTCCCACCCAATCAGTTCATACCCCCACTGGCAGTTAAAAGGAAGAAACAGCTAAGACCACACATTGCTCCTCGAAGCACGAAGCTGAAAGCACCAGGCTGAAGATGACGAATGGGACTTCGTCGAAACGACGCCAAGACACTTCCAATTTTACGCGGGAGAAAACCCGAACCAAAGACCTACATATATACATACATACATACATACATACATACATATTCTATTTTATGGTAGTGACTTATCATGTGACCACATTTTACATTCCAGTTTTCAGCAAAACTGCACCCATAGTAAACCATTGGTTTGCTTAAAGATCATTTGCTTGGTGACTACCAAATTCACTTAATGACTGCCACAAAAAAATTATGAAAATTATGAAAAATTATGAAATTACAATGGGTTCAACATACGACTGTAATGGACAGGCTCCATTATGGTCATATAAATATATATGACGTGATGTATGATAATAAGGTACAATAAAATATGATATATAGTTTTCAATTAAATTATAATTATGTTCATCTTCAACTAATATATTTAAGGTATACAGTTTCCTTTACTATATAACATAGCATTATAGTTAAAGCTAAAGAAGAAAGTTCTATGGATGGATTTATTTTAGCATATTTAAATACTTCCCCTTCATTGCCAGATGCTTATTTATGCAATTCCTGTAAGATAAAGATATATAAGCAATCCTGAGGTCCATTTAATGTTTTGCAATAGCTTTTCTTCATATTATCTACCTAAAGTAGAGCTCTTTTAATAAGTACAACATAGAATGAAGAGCTCCTGCAGGGAAGCCCATACAATTAAAAAATGAAATCGTATTTTAAGTCTAATATATGTGTATATTTTTAAACATGTATAAAATATACACATATATTTTGCTATTGAATTTTTATTTCTATTTTCATTTAGACTATTTGTACTTGAAAGGAAGAGAATTTTGATTTTATGGCAATTTCCTTTTATACAAGAAAGAAATAAAAAACAAACATACATACACACATACATGCACGTTACATGCACACATACATGTACACAAATACAGTACACATCCAGCTTCCCCATCAATGTCAATCTAGGGTTGCCAACTCAGATGAAACTGATCCTGGAAACTCCTCTTTTAGCAATAAAAGCGTGCATGTCGCAAATCTATACATATACAAAGAGAGAGATCTGAAAATTAATTGCATTTAACATACAGGGCCCATTTAATAAATAAATTCCCAAGGCAGAAATGTATCAACTTTTATGACAACTAGGCTGCCTCTCATAGAAATACACCAACACACTTCTCTTTCCTTCTTTCATACGAAAAAGCAAGAGGAAAAAAAATGGATTGAGATGAAGCAAAAAAAAAAGTGAAAATCAGACAAAGTCCAAAGAAACAGATTTACCAAAGCAAAGTTAACTAACTTTTCCTCTTTCCTTAAACTCTAAGGAAATTGTTTGAGATCTAACAAGTGTATGCTTTTTAATATTATATACTATTGTTTATAATTTATTGGATAAAAAAAATGTACTTAATCAACAGGACTAAGATGTACCTCATCAGCTGAAAGACAAATTGGGAGACAGGAATTCAACTCTAGTCTACACACAAAATTTACTGTCAGAAGTTTATAGTACTAGATTGGACATGAAATAGTCATCCTTGGTTATAAGCTTTGAAATCTGAATAATTAGTATGAATAGAAAATAGTATTAAGGAAAAAAGTTATGGTTACAACACAAGAATTCCAAACATTATCTTTGTTTTGAAATGTATCTATGTATACCCAAAATAGTAAATGTCTCTCTTCCATCTTTTTTGTGGACATATAGCAGAGCACAAGTTATAACTGGACATGTTTACATAACAGTTACCAGTGTGAGAATTTATTTTCACAATTGCAATAATCATGAAAACATTCGTGTTCGTTGTTTGAGGTCCTGAATTTAGTACTGAATCTAAAAGGCAAAGAATGTGCTTGCATAGCTAAGGATACTGAATTAACTGCATCATTCCTGAACATGTTAGATCTGTCTAGTGTGAAGCATATTCCTGTTTAGATTATTGCAATGTGTACCTTTGTATATCTATAAACCTTTGCAGAAATGCATCATAACTACCAGAAAATAAACAGTGTTTTCTATGAATACATAAGAAATCTTTTTTCCTGCCCCCCTTTCTGGACCATAATTATCTTTTTAAATGCTAAGTTTGTAATTTTTAAAACTGATACCTGCAAGATAATAAATTTCAGATGAAAAGAAAATAGCTGTACATTGAATATCCAATATGTCATTTTAGCAGTGAAAATTAAATTGGTTAATTTTTAATTTAGTGAAATCAATAAATTACTTTAGTGAAAACCTAGTCTTGCCAGATTTGAAAAAAAAAAAAACTCTTGAATTATAATTTTAGTCTGTAAATTCTTTTATAGACTAATTCAGTGGTCCCCAACCACCAGTCCATGGACTGGCAGCGGTCCACAGCATGACAGCAACTGGACCTCGCAAGCAAGCAAAGCCCCATCCATGAGATACAGGCATCATGCCAAACCATGCTCCCTTGGGTCTGCGGAAAAACCTTTCTCCACGGAATCGGTCCCTGGTGCCCAAAAGGTTGGAGGCCACTGGACTAATCCATATTACCTATAGTGGAACTACAAAACAGTCCAGCTTTCCTCTGGTTTGATACCCTTTCTTATATTAGACATCAGCTCAGAAAATTCATAGTGAGATGACCAACATTAAATGGGTTAATTAATCTTGGTTGGAGCCAAGCACTTCTTAAAAACCTCCCTCACATTATTTTAAAGCTTAGATCCTCTTTGAATGCACATTTCTTTCCTTATGTCCAGTAGCATCAGTTAATAATTTGGATCATTCTGATTACATAGTTTATTTTTGAAGTCAAATATTTATTATTTCACATTATCTTTTAGAATGTTATCATTGGTACACTTTTAGTGACTTTAATTAATAAATAAACCATCACCCTTGGAACACTACTTAGTTAAAATTATTCTGGATTTGAATTCTACTTCTCAGCAGCAGTTCCGTGAATAGAATATTCTTAACATGAACTCCTACTAGTATTTCTATACCTCCACAAATGCTGTCATGTATACCTGATACCAGTTCCTATATAAGCCATCTACCAAAAACAACTTTTTTATTTTATAATAACTCCCACACATTGGAATGGTTTTGATTTTTAAGTAGCAATCCTACTCTTCCAAGGACTGTAACCATATAATTTGAGAAACATAAAGCCTCTCCAGAATAAACAAGTAGAAAAAAATGTGTCTGCTGCAATTACAAAAAGAAGGGAAAGAAAATTGAGAGCAAAATAAAAAGCATACCTTCTCTGATAGCTGTAAATGGAGCACCTTCTTCTTCTTGAAGTCTTATTACTTTCAGTGCTACTAACTTTCCATTTACTCTGGAATAAAAAAAACAAAATACAATTAGCACTTTAGTAGACTTTTCTATTTGCTGCACACAGAGCTTCTTATGATAATGACTATTACTCTCCACAAAAACAGCACATTATCATTTTTAAATCATTTTTTAAAATGTAATCTTGGGTATTTATTCCAATTATACTGTGACATTTTATTTGATGGTTTAAATTTAAATGGACATTCATCACTTATTACCAACCAAAATAGAAATAATGTCTACATGGGCTTTTATTGGCCTCAGTAAGCTTGTTCTCCAAACTACTGAATTAAGATGAAACAGATGTAAGAATTATAGTTGCTTTGTTGATTCAATTATACTAAGGCTCATGGTTCATCCTGTCTGAGTTTAAAATGGGAACATCCATCAATATCCATTATTTATAATTTTTGTCATTTCCTGGGAACAGAACAAACCTGCTTATCTCTTTTATGCTTGGTAATGTTTCAGAATATATTATTTTATTGTGGTTTTTTCTGTTTTGTTTTTGCACTTAATATTGCACTGTTTTCAAAAAGTGTCAGTTATGGTCATTATGCTGCTTTTTGTACTTTTTGTACTTCTAGATTATTCATTAGTAAATAAGGCAAAACCAAAAAGATATTTTTATTTGTATTCACAATACATTTGTATTCTAAATAATTTTAGGTTGCTTCACAACATAGTGTCCCTGTGCTACTAGGAAGGTGGGGTCTTATGAGTTTAAAAATCATAGAAGTACATCAGCAAAAATGGCACCCAAAATTGCGTTGCAGAGAGAACTTCTGGGGTAGCAACAGACATGGGAAGAAAATCAAGAAGAGGAAGTGCCATGGCAAGATGGAATGTACCATCAGCTGATATAGCAGACATTGGGAAATCCTATCAGTGGATGGAAAGGGCTAGCCTGAAAGACAGCACTGAGGCAATGATCACAGGAAGATAAGAACAAGCACTTAAGCACCAGATCCATAGAATTTACCATACTTGCAGGACTCAAGGTACAGACCACACAGACAGGCCTCAGAGATAGTTATGGAGGGAAGTGTGTAGTGGGGTGCCCCAGGGCTCTGTTCTGGGCCCAGTACTCTTCAACATCTTCATCAACGATTTGGATGAAGGGATAGATGGGGAACTCATCAAATTTGCAGATGACACCAAGCTGGCAGGAATAGCCACACTCCAGAAGACAGGCTTCAGATACAGAAGGATCTGGACAGACTTGAACACTGGGCACTAACTAACAAAATGAAATTCAATGGTGAAAAAAGCAAGGTTCTACATTTAGGCAAGAAAAACCAAATGCACAAGTACAGCATAGGTGGCACCATGCTCAATAGTAGTAACTGTGAGGGATCTCAGAGTCCTAGTGGACAATCACCTAAATATGAGCCAGCAGTGTGCTGCAGCTGCCAAAAAGGCCAACACAGTGCTAGGCTGCATTAACAGAGGGATAGAATCAAGATCACGTGAAGTATTAATACCACTCTTCAATGCCTTGGTAAGGCCACACTTGGAATACTGCATCCAGTTTTGGTCATCATGTAAAAAAGATGTTGAGACTCTAGAACAGCGGTTCTCAACCTATGGGTCGCGACCCCATTTGGGGTCGAACAACCATTTTTCGGGGGTCGCCAAAGGCGGCGATCCGCCATTTTCTCCCCTCCGGGGGCGCCGCCGCACATGCGCACTGCGCATGGGGGGCACCACGCATGTGTGCCGCACATGGGGGCGCCGCACATGGGGGCGCCGTGCATGCGTGCCGCACATGCGCATAACATTTGTGTGACGGGGGTCGCCGTCACACAAACGTTGAGAACCGCTGCTCTAGAAAGAGTACAGAGAAGAGCAACAAAGATGATTAGGGGACTGGAGGCTAAAACATATAAGGAACAGTTGCTAGAATTGGGTATGTCTAGTTTAACAAAGAGAAGGACAAGGGGGGACATGATAGCAGTATTCCAATATCTTAGGGGCTGCCATAAAGAAGAGGGAATTAAGCTATTTTCCAAAGCACCTGAAGGCAGGACAAGAAGCAACAGGTGGAAACTAATCAAGGAGAGAAGCAACCTAGAACTAGGAGAAACTTCCTGACAGTGAGAACAATTAATCAGTGGAACAGCTTGCCTCCAGAAGCAGTAAATGCTCCAACACTGGAAGTTTTTAAGAAGAGACTGGACAGCCATTTGTCCGAAATAGTGTAGGGTTTCCTGCCCGAGCAGGGGGTTAGACTAGATGACCTCCAAGGTCCCTTCCAACTTTACTACTATTACATAGTTCAATACATAGTGGCAGGATGTAAGAAGCAGGCAGGAATAGCACACAATAAAAGGCACAACCAAGTAGCTGGCACTGTACACAGGAACTTCACTTTAACTTACTAAAACAAACCACTTTTAAACATTTCTCAGTCTAAGAAGCATTTCCAAGTTATTAGCTCCATTAAAATTATAATTCTAATTGTTAAACTTTCAAGCAGTTAATTATTTTTACAATATGTATAAGATTTTGATATCAGATTGTTCTGAGCCTAGAAACATACACAACAGTAGATTCAATTGAAGCAAACCATTTTTGTCCATTTAGAGATAATTTGATAACTTCAAATTGTCAACAAAATCAGTTAGTTTAATTAGTTAAATTAACATGTTCTACAGATGGAAAAATAACATTTAGCAGAACATAATAGACTCTGTACAATAAGAAACATTTTCAAAAGAAATCAACTGTAGATTATAGCTTTCAAACCTACTGATTCCAAAAGCATATTGATACATACACAAATGGCCAAAGAAGATCAAAGAAGAGAATTTGGGAGGCATAGATGCAAAATATTGAAAATAATCATGCCAATCTCATTGGCCTTAGATTTAAGCCCATTTAGTATACCCAAATTTTTTTTAAACAAAATTTATTAGTTTTTTCATTTTACAAACAAGTGCTTAAGAATCTACGTGGTGGCAGGGTAGTCAATTGTCCAAAAACAAAGTCATACTTATATAGTTCAGATTTAATCATTAGAAACCCCTTCTCTATTCCCTCTAATAATATATTATATTCACGTTAATGTATTTCAATACAACTAAGTCAATCAAAACAATCATCAATAACATTTCATCTAAATAAGTTCAAAGAGCCGAGGTGGCGCAGCAATTAGAGTGTAGCACTGCAGGCCACTTTAGCTGACTGTGTTCAGCAGGTCAGCGGTTCAAATCTCACCGGCTCAAGGTTGACTCAGCCTTCCATCCTTCCGAGGTAGGTAAAATGAGGACCCAGATTGTTGGGGCAATGTAAATATATATATACATTGCTTACTGGTGTACACCGCTTAGAGAGTGCTTGCACTTAAAGCGGTAATAAATCCTGTATTAAGCTTTACTATTTCATTGCTATATTCCATATTGCTAATATAAATACATAATTAACACTTGAGGTGTCTCTCCATTCCCTTTTTCCTTAACATAGTCAATAATCATTTATTAATATCATTTCTTCTTTTTTCTTATTCTTCTTCCATTACAAAATAACTATCATTTCTAATAGCAAAAATATTAGTTCAAAAAAGAAAAGAGAAAGAAAACAAAAAACAAAAACAAAAAAAGAAAAAATACCTTTCTACTCTATTTTACTTTATAATCTATTAATCCCTCAATATCTGTGTCTAAGTCCTTTAACCTCCTCCCAAAATTACTATATCCACAACAAACATGTTAATCATAGACAAACATATTCTTATTAAATTCAAATCTTTAATTAATTTTTATTCAATCTGTTGTTGTTGTTAATTGCGAAGTCGTGTCCGACCCATCGCGACCCCATGGATAACGTTCCTCCAGGTCTTCCTGTCCTCTACCATCTTCTGGAGTCCATTTAAGTTCACAACTACTGCTTCAGTGACTCCATCCAGCCATCTCATTCTCTGTCGTCCCCTTCTTCTATTGCCCTCAATCTTTCCCAGCATTAGGCCCTTCTCCAGTGAGTGCTTCCTTCTCATTAGGTGGCCAAAGTATTTGAGTTTCAACTTCAGGATCTGGCCTTCTAAAGAGCAGTCGGGGTTGATCTCTTCTAGGACTGACCGGTTTGAACGCCTTGCAGTCCAGGGGACTCGCAGGAGTCTTCTCCAGCACCATAATTCAAAGGCCTCAATTCTTTTGCGCTCAGCCTTTCTTATGGTCCAACTTTCACAGCCATACATTGCAACTGGGAAAACCATGGCCTGGACTATACGCACTTTTGTTGGCAGGGTGATGTCTCTGCTTTTTAGTATGCTGTCTAGATTTGCCATAGCTTTCCTCCCCAGGAGCAAGCGTCTTTTAATTTCTTGGCTGCAGTCCCCATCTGAGGTGATCTTGGAGCCCAGAAAAATAAAATCTGTCACTACCTCCATTTCTTCCCCATCTATTTGCCAGGAATTGAGAGGGCCGGATGCCATGATTTTGGTTTTCTTAATGTTGAGTTTCAAGCCAACTTTTGCACTCTCCTTCTTCACCCGCATCAAGAGGCTCTTTAGTTCCTCTTCACTTTCTGCCATTAGAGTGGTATCATCTGCATATCTTAGGTTGTTGATATTTCTCCCGGCAATCTTAATTCCAACTTTTGATTCATCTAGCCCTGCCTTTCTCATGATGTGCTCTGCATATAAGTTAAATAGGCAGGGCGACAGTATACAGCCTTGCCGGACTCCTTTTCCAATTTTGAACCAATCAGTGGTTCCGTGTCCAGTTCTCACTGTTGCTTCTTGACCCGCATATAGGTTTCTCAAGAGACAAATGAGATGGTCTGGTACTCCCATCTCTTTAAGAACTTGCCACAATTTGTTGTGATCCACACAATCAAAGGCTTTTGCATAGTCAATGAAGCAGAAGTAGATGTTTTTCTGGAACTCCCTAGCTTTCTCCATGATCCAGCGTATGTTGGCAATTTGATCTCTAGTTCCTCTGCCTCTTCGAAATCCTGCCTGTACTTCTGGTAGTTCTCGATCCACATACTGCTGGAGTCTAG